GTAGCTTAATGATCTGTGTGGCCCATCTTGCTCTGAAGAATAATCAAAATGTGTAATAGTTGGAACTTAATTGGAACAATTATGGAGTAGTGGAGATGAACGGTGTTATTGGGGGCAAAAAAAAAAAAAAAAACATTATCATGAAACCATGTGAATATGTGATGGTTTCCTACTATTATTTATTCAATAAAATAGACTAGGAAAAGAAAAGGGAGGAACTGTTGATTTTATAGAATAAGTTTGGGATATTCTGTCTCTCTTTCTTTCCCACGTTCGCAACCAATATTGATTATGAGATTACGAGACACAAGTGCAATATTCTCAAAACGTTGTTTATTAATAGTTATTGGAAGCTTCTTGTGGTTTTCTTCTTTATTGAGTGAAGACTAGACTATTTTCTTTTTTTTTTTCAGTTTAAGAAATACAAATGTATCAATTTAATATTCTAAGTTTCTAACGACACTTTTTTTTTTAATAAAAAGAAAAAAAATCGTTTAGAAAATGGGTTTTATTAATGTTATGTAGCATAATTTAAGTGTTGTTTTTAACATACACAATAAAAGGGAGACAGAAAGTGGAATGATGAAAAAGAAAGAAAAATATGTAGACCTCACATCTTTAATGTGTGTGTAGGAAAGTAAAATTATGTTATGTTACATGATAAATATAAAATCCTTAGAAAATTGACCCCCTGAATGCGGTGCAATTTTAAAATAAAAACACTGTTAAAGAAAGAAACAAAGAAACAAAAATAAAAGAGGCAATAATATATTTTTTTAAAAAGTACACTATTTGATTTATTGTTTCTGTCTCTCACTAAATTGTGCATTTCGCAGTTCTTTCATAATGATAGGGACTTGTGTACTTAAAAAAAAAAATATGATAGGGAATCCCGATTCATACGTTTGTCTTAATTACCATGGCGAACTGTTCTTTTCGATATTTAGTAGTGTGAAATCAACATTTAATTTTGGGTTGGATTTTGACATATTGAAATTTTGAATCTTTTGTCAGGATAATTGAGACTCCCAACCTATATATACGGATTTATCATAATGCAAATAGCAAAAAATCACTTAGTAAAAAAGTGAACTGTATAGCTCAATTTACAATATAAACGGAGTAGGTAGAGAGAGAATCTAGATTTGATTGACTAAGTTTTTACTCGGAATTAGTGTTATAACTGAGTTAAAGAGTTGAAGTTTGTGGGGATACTGAGAGTTGACTCGCTTCAAAGAAATAATTAGGGTCAGTATATCAAAAATAAAAATAAAATAAAACTTTTATGTTTGTTCCGAAGAAAATTAATTCACATTTTATATATTTAAGGATTAGTGTTTGGAGATAATTTTATCTCATACACATAAAAGTATGTGAGGTTCATATTTTTTTCTTCTTTTTTCTCTTCACATGGCTCCATATAGGCCCGTATATATATATATATATATATATATATATATATATATATATATATATATATATATATATAGAGAGAGAGAGAGAGAGGTAGGATCCTTTGACACCAGTGTCAAATTTGAAGTTTGACACCTCATCTGAGAGCCATTAGATCAAAAAAGATCAATGGTGTCACATGCTTACAAATCAGAGTCATTGATCTTTTTTGATCTAATGGCCAAAGGATCGTACCTCATATACATATATATAGGGGCAAGATATTCTTACACCAGTGTAAGAGTTAGAAGTCTTACACTCAATCTTGACCAATGATCCACTTGTATCCAATGGCTCATATTACTAAAAAATTAGAGCCTATAGATATAAATGATATCAACGGACAAAATTGAGAGTGTAACTTACACTGGTGTAAAATAATCCTGACCCATATATATATATATATATATATATATATATATATATATTACACGTTTCTCTTATACATGGAGAGATTAGAGGATGTAATAGTTAGATACTTTTTCACTTCTTGCAAAAGGGATATTTGGGAATTTTTTTAATTTCTTTTTTTTTATAAGTAGAAGTTAGGTTAAATAATTTTTTACAAAAGCTCTTATAATAAAAAAACTTTTTTTATAATACAAAAAAGCTAAAATCTAAAAATTCTTAGGAAGATTTTTTTACTATCTTTTATTAACTTTTTTTGAAATAAATAATTTTTAAACTTAAAAATTTATATAATTATCAAACAGTTTATAATTTTATTTTATTTTTAAAAAATTAACTTTAACTTAAACGTGATATTTAGCTTAAAAAAATTGTCAAACAGCTCTAAGTATTACACCTTGCCCGAATTAAGTAATTAACTCTCCATATAAGTTGGTACTACCCGAATAGGTAAAGCGAAAAGAGTAATCTATCTGTCTATTCGATTAGCTGACCCACACGTCACAAATAGGCAATGATTAGATGGGCATTAATGCAAAACAATTGTAATAGAAAATCTCTATTATAGCAATCATGAGGAGAAAAAACATGTTACACAAAGTACCTATCTTCCCACAGAATAATTAATACGGAGATAACATTACGTCGCTGTTAAAAGTTAAAACGATATTCTCATTTTGCTTGATACTTACATTGACTTGAATATTTGTGCAATGTAAACTGAAAAACTAAATTTCTTTAGTCACCTAGGGCAGCATCCGTTTAGTGACCTTTTGTCCACAATATTGTTCCAATTGTCCAAGTAGGTGTGTATTTGATTATGAAGTAGAATTATTATTTTCTTTTAAATAATTGCATCAGTGACAATATAGCTTACCTCACTTTTGAATAGAAAAAAAAATCAACCTACCAGTTTAGTGTCTCATTGACTTGAAGTAGGTCTTTCTCTACCACTAAATAGAAGAATGCTATATCACAAGGCAGCTGGGCCTCTTGCTCATTATATGGTCTACACTTTGAGCAAATCCACTACCATAAAAGATGACAGAAAAGTGTATGCTCACATAGCTTTCATCATATGCAGCACAGTCAAAGTGAACAAAGATAAAGGGGTATTTGGCTTTGACTTTTACACGAACATAGAGACTTCAAGCATTAACATAACGTTTTTTTACTTTCAATGTCCATGGATTTAATAGTAGCTAGTAGATCTACCATAAGAAATGCATTCAATGTACTAAAACCATGTGGGGGGAAAACCAGATGGACCCATTTACATAACTTGAGTTCTAAGATTGTCTAAATCAATTATGATGATAGTTGGGTCCTTCCTCACTTGTCTTTTATGGTATATCTTTTTATACAGTTTTTTTTTTTTTTTTTCTCCAGCTTAAGGGAAGGGAAGTGGAGTAATGCATCAGATGAATTTGCTTCTACCTATAATTGAACTCCAATTAATGAATAATAATGACTCACTTAACTTGGTGTAGATGGGTTTATAGCAAAATAAATACATTCTACTCCAGAGAGATACATGTATCATGTATGTCACTCCCATGTGTAATTTTAGGCTTTAAATGTACAATACAAGTACCATCGTAATAATCCAAATAGAAAAACGAATTTCCACTTTTGGTTGTTTAGCAAGTACACGGAAATGTCACTAAATGGAAAACCAGACTGAGAAGAGCATGTGAATATTAAACTGGTAGTACGGTAGTATGTACAAAACAAATTTGTAAAGTAAATACTTTCTTTATCTTTTTGATCCTCATCAAATTTTACGATACTCACTTTAGTTCCTAGCAAATAAAAAGGTCTATTGTGATCCTTAAAAAATTCAAAATAGACCCATTTAGTTAAAATCGTGGTCCCTCACAAATTCAAAAAAGACTTATATTAGTCCTCAAAAGAACTAAAATAGGTCCATTTTGAATTTTTTAGGGACCACGATGGACCTTTTTATTTGCTAAGGACTAAAACAGGCATCGTAAAATTTGCGGAGGACCAAAAAAAATATTTACTCTTATTTCTATTTCGGCAGAACAGTGGTAAAAAGCTCATAGTTCAGCATCCATATCTTAAAATTCTAAGTCAAATCTTCTAAAGGTTATGCCAACTTTTAAGGACCTGAATTCAGATCTCACCTCATTAGAAAAGAGATAATTTTAAGGAAGAAGAAAGTTAACTCCTGTTTATAGCCTATACTGTGGGGGCCCCACAAAAAAAAGGATACACTCAGTTTGTTAAGTTTCACTCAAGATCTACTGATATCCAAAAAAATTCTATATAAAAGAGGGAGATATTATGTAAGGGTCATGATTTGGTTCACCACTAACCTTCAAAAAAGATGTGAAAAAAGGTCTACTAATTTTACTGTCTCTCCATCAAGTTGATTTAGTTAGAGGGTAGCCTAAGCTTTATGTTTTTGTTTTGGGTATGCTAATTTTCTAATCTGTGTAGTGTTTATGTAGTTGTGTTGTGTGGGAGCGAGTTTGACAGACAGAGGAGGAGGTAGCTCAACAACTTGTTAGTTCTTATCTACATCAGGACTGAAAATCTTAGGGAATCACATTCACTTGCAAATAAAAATGTACATAGAAAATAGAAAAGTCAAATCAATAATTTGGCAGTCTCTTCCCACCGTGGTCCTGTGTATTGTTCCCACGTGGGATCACGTAAATTTCACTCATAATGTGATATTATCACATGAAAAACAGCAAAGAGCTTATATTGTATTTAGAGATTTAGGTGCTTAATGCCAAAAAAAACCAAAAAAAATATTGATAAAAAATTAGAAACAGTAACAGTTATCGGTGTTCTCTGAACAAAAGGAGACAAGCACTGCTTCCTATACTTAGTATTAACATATTACAATAACTCAGGTTTCCAAAGACATATTTGTCTTCACATACCATATTTTAGAAACTATGAAACAAAGATGAAGGTTTAAAAAGTTAAAAAAATAAAATACATCTTTTTTGGTTTTTCCATTTTTTTTTATAAAGCATAGATATTCTTTACAGAAAGTAATTCTGTTCGAGCGGAGAGCATCAGTATCATGACGGGACTAGCTCTCTTTATAATAACATGAACACAATTAGATTGACAGCTAGGCATCATTATTGAGTACAGAAAGCTCATAGGGACCTGCGACTTACATGATCATAGTTGCTTCTTCTTGAGCTTGGAAGGTAAACTATAGATTCAGAAACAGCACAAGTTCTCTTGCAAGCAGCAGAAAGGCTAATAAACCCAAAACGATCACTAATACTCCTTGTAACCTTAGCTCCATTAAAGAAACTGCTACTACTTGTTTCTTCTTCATGATCATCCTTTGAGCATTCAACCAGTGCAGCAAAGAAAGGATCCCTTTGAAAACTAGTTTGCATTGAATTCTTCTTCCGAATCCTGGTTTCTTCATGACTGAGCTTTTTAGAAGAGTGTGAGGTAGTAGGAGGGGGTAATGGAAGTAGTTTCATGGATGATTCCTGCTTCTTCTTGGAATTCTGCTTCTTGGGAATTCCAGGTAAACGTTCCCAAGAAAATGGAACTCCTGAGAATCTAAGAGGGGAAGCAGGACTAAGCAAAGGATCATCATGAAAATAGAATGATTCAATGGAGGAAGAAGAGGGTGAAAGTGATGAACAAGAGGATGAAAATGAAGGAGTACGGCGAGAAGACAAGTACTTTCTGGCAGGGAAGGTGTCACATTGTTTTGGGACATCCATGGCATGCTGACTGAGAGTTGCTGCTGAAGTATCCATTGTTGTTAGTGCTATGAAGAAAGGAGAGAGAAGTGTTTATGTATATTTTTGTGTGGTTGTTCACTTTAGTTTTGTCCTCTAGGACCCTGCACATTTTATTATATAGGCATATAAAGAAAGACAAGAGTTCAAGTCCTATTCTATATTTTATGAGTTGATGTTTATTTATTTTAATATGGGGAGATAAGAAGGTAAAAGAAAAATATATATATATATATTATTGAGTAACAAAAAGGACCCCATAGCATTCATGAGGGGGACAAAATGGGAAAATCAATAATGATGGAGGTGATAAAGCTATGTTTTAATTAGAGGGGCTACTATAGGGAGTGGTTAAGAAGCAATCCTAGGACAGGTGGCAGGCCAAACATGGGGAATTACAGCTGCTAAAGACGCAGGTACAGGTTTTAATCAAATCGGTTTTTGGGCATAAAAGCTGTCTCTATGTGCATTTGGAAGAATAAGCAATTAATTTCATCAAAAAATACACATCAAACCATAAATGCTGCATATGTTTAAAGATGTCAAGGGTCAAGTTTATTTACCTTTGTGAAATTTCAGCTTGTCCCCTAGGTAGTGTCAAAAGTTTGGGACTCATAAGTATAGAAACATTCCTTTGAAATGAATGGTTTATTTTGTGTAGTGTAACTTTTCAATTCCCTGGCTGTGGCTTTTGATCGCTTAACTCTAAACAAGATAGTAGATACCTTCCCAACCTAAGTTTTTGTTGCATAAAAATTAGAGTTACAGTTTTGGAATGTGAAGTGAAAGATGAACAAAATTTTGCTTTGATAGAATAAATCTTTGCTTTGAAGTGAAAGATAGCAAGTTTAAGCACAGTTTTTGCTTTGTTCACACTTGACTGTCAATAAAATTTTGATGAAAATAATTAATTGTAAAAAATCACTCTTTGAGAAGGGAAGCAAAAGCCTATAAATGTTTCCTTATTTAACTATGTAGAGAATTTATTGATAGAATAGTGGTTTGGACCCATAGGAAACAATACAAATACAAGATGCTAATCACTAAAACGGGAGTGGGCTATGGAATAGGTAGGCATGAGCTAAATGCAAATTCCTTAGAAGTAAATGGACCCAAACCTCATCTTTCTTGTTGAATTACAATACCCAAACTTCTTGTTATAATAATACCCGGTGTTCCAGCAAGAAAATATAAATTTTGAGCAAAGAGACAAGTGTTTGAGTATTTTAATGTCTTCCTAAAATGTTGGTGAGGCCAAAAACCTGCTTTGGCAGTGTCAGGTATAAGTTGGATTCAAATCAAATTATGATATTTGGGATAGTATGGGTAAATAAAAAAAATTACAACAACTATAACTTCCATCTAATAAATAGTTAATTAGAACATATTCAATCTTACAAGCATGTCTAATTCCATATTGAGTTAGGACAAATTGAATTAGTAAAAAAAAAAATCATTTTAATATTCTTAACTCATTCTATATATTTTAGAGGAACGTTATTCTAATAACCTAAAATTTTTACAATTTATTTTTTATCGTTAATTTCTGTCAATCTAACGGTTATAATTGATTAGAAATTAATAATTAATTAATAAATAAATGTGATCCAATAAATCATAATTGTTGAATTGACGTAATCAACGATAAAAAAATAAATTGTAAGTAAAAAAGTTGTAAAAATAATGCTCCTTTATATTTTATGGGAAAAATACAATGAAACCACTCACAAGTATGACAGAAAAAAAAAAATCTAGCATAAATATTTAACCCATATTTTATTTTATTATTGTAGCCTACCCGTGGAGTTCAATGGGCTTTTGAAACGTTGCTCCTTCCCTCAGCTATGGGGCTTAAAGCAGACCCAAGCCTCGGAATCTTTGTCCCCATATGGATCAAATTCTGAATTGAGAAGATGTTCAAGCCCACTTTTTAAGATAAGGGGATTTAATAATGGAATTGTCTTTTTTCACGGAGTTAAATACTTAAATCCACAAAATTGAGAAAGCTTGCTCGTTAAAATAAAGTCATGATTTGAAATCTTCCGTCGGTTTTTTGTGGCACATGGATCATTGGATCAATATCCCTTGGGAAAAGTATTTGTCCTTTTAAATGACACAACTTATATCATTTCACCCTCACAAAGTGAGACTCACACCTTTATATTTTTTTGGCGACTCTCTCTTCTCCTTTATCTATCTCTTCTCTCACTTAAAATGACATAACTTTACATCCTTTAAAATGATACACATTTTTTTTATTTACATTTGATTTCTGTACCTTTTCTAGAATAGTGTAAGTATTTTTTTTGGGAGGATAAAATGCGTGTGTTTGAATTGAGAGGCATAATAAGACGGATATTTTAAAGTGTAAGTAGAAATCATCCATGAAAATAATCAAATCATTAAATTCAACTAAATTCGTGATTTATTATCAATGTGTTTGCATTTTATCAAAATTTATTTTGATATTAATTTTTTTAATATCAATGGTTCTCCCATCTTGTGGAGAATTTCTTACTTGTTTCAAATGCCTTACTGCCAAGAATAAATCACTCAATCAAATGTCTGATATGCAATCTACCGATAGAAATAAAAGGATCATATAATGGAATAAATCTTCGATGCATAAGATAAATCCAACTTGGTACATATTTTTTTCAAAAGAAGAAATTTTTTTAGTGAGGCGGGAAATCATTTTTAAAAAATGATGATTTTTTTTTTTAAATTTGAAAAAAGATGTACCGTATTGAATATATCTGACGCACTAAATATTTGTCTAAAATGTAGCATCTTGATGATAATCATATTGTCACCGTCTATTTCTTCTGGTCTTGGAATGTTGTCACTAAATCTACAAAATGCCATTCTACCACATATAGCCATAGCCATAAATTCTTCCATCAGTTCCTTGTCATCGTCACGGGGAGATAAAATGATGTACTGAACATGGCTTACGCGATCAACCATCCATAACGTTAACAAGGAACTGATGATTGTCAAAAGGTAAGACATGCTATGAATTTCTCCTATGATTGGAAGTCTTAGGTTGTTAAAGAACTAATTCAACCCAAATGCTTAAGCTGTTGGGTGAGGTTACATTAAGGTGAGGATCGAGTACACCGAAACTCTGATACCATGTTAAAGAATCAATTCAACCCAAAAGCTTAAACTGTTGGGTAAAGTTACATTAATAATTTTATATATCTCAATTTAAGTAGTTCCAAGTTTCATTGTTTACAAACGACACGAATCTGGACGTAGTCATAATAAGAAACACGCTTCACTGTGTAATTCAACGAATCAAGATGAAACTTTGCCTGCTGATGTGATACTGTGATGCATCTCCCTCATTCTTTGAACTTATACACAAGAGCCAAACTATATATTATATGCTAGTCACTTTGTATTTTTTATTTTATTAAAATAAAAATAAATAATCATAAAACTTGTTTGAAGTAAATTATAGTTATATAGTGGGAAACTGAAAAATATTTAAAGTTTACTATGAGGAGCATTATTTTTACAACTTAAAAGTTTTACAACCTATTTTTTCACCGTTGATTTTCATCAATCGATCGGTTATGATTTATTAGGTCACATTTATTATTAATTGTTAATTTACAATAAATTATAATCATTAGATTAACGAAAAATCAACGATGAAAAAATAAGTTGTAAAATTTTTAAGGTCTGAGAATAACTCTTAACTTACACGTATTTCAAGAGTGAAACAAATGTATAAGTTTATCTTTTTTATGTTTTTTTTTTTTGGTAAACATTATGTTTATCTTTAAAATTTTAAATGATTGATAAATATATTTACAATTTTATCTTTAAATCATTAAATGAGTTATTATTAATGATAATTTAAAAAACAAATGAAAAATAGACATTAAAGTGAGCAATCTCCTTCACAGTAATAATTGATAGACTGATAATACCGATTGCAGATATATAATCTATCCAATAAAAAGAAATCGCAGAGTTTGAACCGTAAAAATAATAAATTAACACCGTAAATATTATATTTTCCACGTGGAAGAAATTGCTTTATTTCTTCCCTGAACATTCTGAATACAGCTTAATGAAACTTATCAATGTGAAATCCAAATCTACAACTATTGTTTCTTCACTTCGAATTTGATTGTTAATTCTCTAACTTTACACCAGAAATTCTCTCATTCTTCAATTACAGTTAGTACGAATCAACTAGCCAGTCTAGCCTAGTGTAAAGGTTGTGGCTGTTGCACTAGGAGCCCACAAATTGATCCATCCCTTTTCTTCCATCCGTGTCATTCAAAACATAAAGTTTAATAGCATAGTTTCCAAAAGAACTATGCAATGCAGAAATTTCAACTCTTGATGCGCATCAAGGCAAGGTAGGCCAATAATCTGTAAAACACAAACATGAAAAATAACACCCCAATGCTTCCCACAGTGCCGATTTGCCCCACCACATCTTCTTCAACAAACTTGCAGCTAGCCCTATCACTATCACCATGATAGCAACCCAACAGATATGATATTTTCTTTCCATCCCCATACTGGATTCTAGTCAGCAATCTATAACTGTAAAAGGTTGTGGATATATATTTGATCCAAGCCATACAAGATGGCACCTTATGGACATAGTATCCACCTGTTAAGACAAATGCTAGCATTGTCACAGCTGCAACTGTGGAAGCTTGTTTTGCATCCATTATTGCTGCACCTAAAGCAAGGCCAAGACCCTGTGACACAAGCACGTATCCAAGAACAACCAACAAAGTCAAGAGAAAAGCCCACAAATCAGGCTTTAATCCACCCATCCAATATGTAACAATGAGGAAAACTGTGGGAAGGATAAGCTCCATGGGCAGGTCTCCAACAATTCGAGCCATAAAATAGGACGACAGTGTATACATACCAGAAGCTCTCTCTTTCATAAAGATGGCACGTTCTTGAGGGAATGCAAAGACAGAGTTGAAAGACGGGAAGACTCCCCAAAAGATGGAAATGAAGAAGAGTAGGCCAAGCCTATCTTGAATATTCCTATAGTCTGAGTGCCACCACATTAGACCAGCTAATAGTGCAGCAGCAATAACTTGAAAGACTCTCAGAGTGTTAAAGGATTCATGCTTTCTTTCTTTGAGGCTTCTCTGGAGCAGAATACTGAATTGGTTGAACCAATCTAAGAAGTTAACCCTGTCAGTATATCTACGTTCTTTGGAAGAGTTGCTTCTCAAAAGGTGAGTGTTCCTTGTAGGAAAACTGACAGTGTCCATGCAGGAAGCTTTTACCTTGGGAGCAAGTACTGTGTTGTATGAATGAACTAGGTTTTGCTTTATGGCTGGCCTATCTCTTTCACTTAGACCATCAACATGGCAAACACCTACAGAATTCAAGGCCAAGCTTGATTAATATCAATTGACGATTCTTTTTCCTTCAAACAATAAAAAGTTCATTCTTGTTGCACTTCAATTATGTAGTTGTATTTCATCATGAATAAACTAAGTTGTCCAATAAATGAATCTGAGGAAGTCCAATCAAAATGACAAAAGACGATGCAAAATAACTAGGAAAAACTCAAGAATCACATTCAGTTTGAAAAAACAAGAGGGCTTCATATTTCGTAGTTAACCTTTATTTTGCTTTTAGTTGGCAAGAAGTATAGATTATTCAATTTTCAACTTTAGGATAAAAGAGATAAGGGACCCCAGCATATATATATATATATATATATATATATATATATATATATATATATATAGAGAGAGAGAGAGAGAGAGAGATAGATTATTAACAGAAAAACCAGAGGAGATAGATTGAAGCTTTCTAGGAAAAATCCTTATCTAAAAATCAATAATATACAACCGAATAAACTATAGAAAGTGATAGCTGTAACATCATGGCGAGGCCCTATGGAACCATATATTGTAAATCATAGCATTTAAATAGCCGAACCTTTTCCAATGAAAATATTGAAGCTAAATAAAGTATATGATAGGTCGAACAAGGGATAAAAATGTGTTTAAATTAATTGAAACAGTACTTGATTGTTCTAATGGGGTCAATTAGGGGAATAAACATGCTTAAATAGGATAGTGGAACTTATGACAGCTGACTTATCTTGGTGTTCCCGTGTTACGGTGAGTCTCCACTAATATTGTTGCTGGCGCTGTTGATTGGGCCACCAGCTCCCACTTTCAATTATATAATATCAATATAGCTATTTACTTTTCTGCCATCAGACTTCACTTTTGTGGGAGAAATGTTTATAAGGATGTAAAGCAGCCCAACACGTGTAGCTCTTTAATTAACAGATCCTAAGATAGAGATTCTAAAAAAGTTGGAGGAAAAGAGAAAAAGAAGCAAAGTTAACGAGAAAAGGGAATCATCTCCAAAATTGGCCAGATCATTGTAAAAGAAGTGAAGGTCAAGTTTCCAAGTGTAATGATGAATAAGGAACAGCCCCCAAGATCATGTTCTTGTGTTGGTCAAAAATACTTTCTACGTAAGTTCAACATTATTATTCTTTTACTTCACTTTTTTACATTTATTATACCGTTTTATGCGGAAAAAAAATCTTTTTAAAAGAAAGATCATATAGAGCATGAATGTAAAAATTGAGGTGTAAGAGTAACCTTTCTAAGGAAAATTTTATCAACCTAGGTACACAATTGTGTAGGACAAACCAAACATCATTGGAAAACAAAGATGTTGCGTATGACCCAAAACCCAACTTTAAACCTCATACACCTAAAAACTTAACCTCCCCATAGAATACAATACAACAACTTACTGGGTAAATGGTTATGATTTTATCACTATTCAATAACGGCAGACAGTGATTCAGTGTGCCACTTTTCCCAATTGCTTTTGACATTTCCCCCCACCCCCTTTTCACAGCAGATTTATGGTTTCTCACGCTATCAATGCCGTCATCACCTCTACCACCTTAATATCCACATGATCATCATGGTCCCAATGATCAACGAAAAAGGTCAAGAGAGGCACATATCCCTAATAATCTTTCAGTGCCAAAGATGTTGAACCTCATATAAGATAAAAATACTTAGTCAAAGAGCACTTACCATACAGTTTTTCTTGGATTAATTAATTCTAGACTGTGCTTAGTGATATCACCAACCAATCTATTCCAAAAGAAGCAAACACTAACACATACAGAAAGACCAGTAATCTACAACTTAAGACTCCGGTCCACTACTTTAGCATTTCCAACTTTATACCATAGGCACATTCTCTTTTGACTATAAAGTAGCTTTGGTCCCCATGCCATCCAGGCGTTTTCAACGATAACTAGTCTAATCTGACTACACCAATCCTTCAACAAACGCTAAGTGTAAATAGTTCAGAGAGTTTCTACTAAGCACATATCTTACACAGCCAGTATAACATTCTTTGTTATGCATGAACTTGACAAATAAAAAATGAAATGGAGAAAGAAAAACGTTAACTCAAAAAAATTCTTCAACAAAATGAAAGAATACAAAATAAAAGCAAAGAGAAACATGCAAAATAATCCGGTATAAATTTGAAAACAGAGTGCGGTTCATAAATTGTGATAACAATATGTGCCAATATCTGCACCAAGAGGTTGCATTATAACAATTAAAGTATTGCCTTCGTGCAAGCTTAAATGACTTGTGTTCGCCTCCTTTCCCAACTACAAAATAATAAGTCAATCCAAATGCCTATTTTCGACATCACAACAAAAGTTTTTTTTTTATTCTGATGTTATCCTCTCCAAAGGATATTAGATCAAGTTATTCCTGTTGAAAAAGATATGGTTGATGCTTCTAGTAGTAATAATAAGGGGCCATGCCAGCATGAGTGTATGATATGCGTCTCTATTGTTTTTCTTCTACTTTTGGAATATATCCGGACCCACATTAAAATTGGCACCAAACCGAATTTGATGGGAAATTGGCACCCACATTACTTTCTTTAGTTTCTTAAGCCATCCTTCTGTGTTTCCAAAAAATTGTCTTAAAAGCTTAGCCTTCCCAGGAAGATATATTTGTCCTTCATAATCCATTATTTAAAAATCTTAAAGCGTGAAGTTTCTAGCTTAATTTCAAAATATCTGGTAAATGTGGACTTGAATTTTCTTATCAAAGTGCTTAGTTAGCTTCAAGGAAAAAATCCCATGCTTAACTAAAAAAATTTAAAATCCATGCCTCATTGGAGGAGGCAGTGGTACTAAATTTGGGCGGGGGTGATGAAAAGAGAGAAAAAAAACTAGAAGCATAAGGAGTCAAATCAGGTTGGCCCTGGAAAAAGAAAAATTAACTGGCTATATAATAGAGGCAAGAAAAAGCAGAGCCTAAAGCCTATAGCAGACAGCTCCAAAAAAAGAGGACACGTGGTAAGCATCAAGGAATTGTTTAAACAAAGAATTCCTATTGATGCGAAAATCAAAACCCATTACGTATCCATCCGATCGATTTTTCCCACTCAAGCTCAGAAACCTTTATCTTTCTGGCCTCGCTCATACCCTAAATATACTTTCATTAAATATATTCTTTACATACAATCATCAACCCCCATCATCATCACCACTATCACAATACCAATGGAATGAGCAACCCATGGAGAAAAACACTAAAAAATGTGAATTACAAGGTATTTTTATTAGACCCTACCAAAAGTAAAAATAGAAAACAGATTCTATTATTAGACTGGTGCCTAACGGATCTTGAAAGTTAAGGAGGTAAAAAAAATTAAAAATGAAAAAGAAATATTTGATCAGAGAATTTTAAATTCTTTACTAAAAACTTGCAAGCATATCTCAACTAACTAAGTGAGCTAGCCTCACCGCCTCTAGAAATAAGTATATGCCAAGTCAGAAACCCCAAAGATCACAGCTGCAAAAACATAATATCATGGCAGAGTTACACTACATAATGCCTGCCACAGTGTGTTGTCCAACTTGATGCCTTTCATGACGTTCATTATTAATATTTCATAAATCACCATCATGCTCATATATATTCTAAAAATTCTACCCCACACGACCACACACACGCAAAGATTCAGTAAACCCCATTACCCTAACTACAAAATCTTAAACAACACAACAAGACAGAACATATCAACCTCAATCACAATTCACAAACACTCCTTGCTCAATATTCCCTCTCATTATATCCCCTAACACTAACTAATATCCCACACCAATTATGTGTTAAATAAAAAAAAATTCAATAAAAAATTATTACCGCATATGAAAAGTAGTTATAACAAGTTAACAGTAATTTCTAACAGAAATACGAAAGTTGACGTACCGTTAGCGAGATCGAGCAGAAAATCCGCCGGGTTTACCGGAAAAGACGGCGCGAACCCAACCGACTCGAAGTAGCGCATGGCGTCGTTTCCTTTGCCGAAGTATAAGCACTGTCCTTCCGACAGCACGAGCACTTTGTCGAACATCTGGTACACGCGGCTCGATGGTTGGTGCAACGACGTAACCACCGTCTTCCCTTTCTTCGCCAGCGACCCCAGCGTCACCACCAGGCGGTGCGCCGCCGTGGAGTCAAGACCGGAGGTAGGCTCGTCTAAAATAAGCAGCGCCGGATCCACCAGCATCTCGTGCGCGATGCTCACGCGCTTCCGTTCCCCGCCGGACACGCCGCGGATGAAGGTGTTACCGATGATAGTGTCCTCGCACTTCCCTAGCCCAAGCTCCGCTATCGCCGACTCCGCCGCCGCGATCTTTGCCGCGCGCGGCAGCGTCCTCGGGAGGCGAAGCATGGAGCAGAAGACGAGAGTCTCGCGAACCGTTAGGTGAGGGTAGAGGACGTCGTCCTGTGTCACGAACCCGGTTCGACGGAGAACCAGTTTGTTGAGTTTGGAGGAGTTGGCGAGGATTGTTCCGGTGAGGCCGTTTCCATGGAGCCTCCCTGCAAGCGCGTTTAGGAGCGTGGATTTTCCGCTCCCAGATGGGCCCAGGATGGCTAGGATTTCCCCTGGGTACGCTATCCCTGTTACGCCGTTCAAAATGGTTCGCTCTTTCGGCGCTTCCACCGTTGATCTTTGATCAGACGGTGATGATTCGTGCGTCGAAAACAATCTATTGATACACCCTCCTCTGCCTTGTTTGTTCTCTATCTTCAATCGGTATCCCACTTCCATGAACTGCGTTGCATGAAACATAAAAATATTTTAAACTTCAATTTAGTTAATTTTTTCCCAAAAAAAAAACTAGATAGTAATATGGTCAACCGAGTCAAACTCATGACTCAGTGAAATAAATATCAATGCGTTTTGTTAGTTATATGATTAATAATAAATACCTTAAGCGTGATTGGGTAAGAGCAAGACAAGAAAGGAGCGAGGTCACGCGATTCTTGAGGGGTGTGTTTGGGAGGTGCATGAGCGTGGGATGAGTTTCCATTTGGAGTTTCTACACCACCAAACGCTGCTGCAGGTGTTGGTGTTGGTGTTGGCATTATTATTTTTCCTAGGTGTTTTTTTTTTTTTTTTTTCCTCTCTTAGTTAGGAGACAAAAAAAGAGGAGAAAGTATGGAAAGTTAGGAAATGATGATAGGAGGGGGTTTGACAAAGAGAAGAGAGGAAGTGTTAGAAGTGAATTATGAAGTGAGAGGAACAAGGGATAAGAATACAATGGGGTATTTATGGAGGGATCAGGACCCATTGCACTGCCACGTCAAAGTGGAACTACTGAGTTGGGGTTGCTACGTGGCAATCATATATGAGCAGTGGGCAGCTACTGAAATGGTTCATGGAAAGTGTCCACTTTCTTTTCCTTACCACCTTTTTCTTTCTTTCTTTTTCTAGTTTTTTGTATTTCAAATAAGAAAGAAAAATAAAATGAATAAGATACGCAAAGTTTAAGTTGGATTTTTATTTTTCTTTATTTAGACAAAATATATTGAGTAGCTTCGCATTTCTCAATCAATAGTTAATGGTAAAAATTAGTAGTTTTAACTTTTAAATATTTAACTTTTAAATATAGTTAATTATGGCAGTATCCAAAAAATATATATATATAGTTATGGCAGAGGTACTTCATTACACTTATTACTCGTGAAACCGTCCTTGAGTTGGAGGAGGGGAAGGAAGTGAAGTAAGGAGTGGTGGGAGAGTGGGGAGCAATAAGTAGAGGAGACATGAGTAACATTTCAGAATCTTAAATACTGTTCAGAAGTTGAAAAACTAGTTTGGCAGATGCTGTAGAGTATTGCCAGCTTGAGATTGACTTCATCCCCTGAGATATTTTTTGGATCTCGATTTTCTCATCTTAACAATAATATAATATTCTCTCTTTTTTATTTTCAAAAAGAAGGGGTGACAAGCAACTCATGGTATGAGTTATGACTTCTGAGTATGCACAATTTTGAATTAGAATTCCGATCTCCTTTGATCTGTAAGGAATTAGGTATATAATTTTAGAGTATGTTGTTAAATAAAAAATAAAAAATTTGCACAACTGATTATAATTATGTATTTTCAAAAATATATGGTTATAATCCGAAATGAACAATTTCTGAAGAGAAAAAGAAATTATAATTATAATTATATATTCTCAAAAATACATAATTATAATCAATTGCTGAAAAAAAATTGCAACGACATAAGAAAAAAAGACTCATAATTTTATACATAAGTTTATTCAAAAATCAAATATTTACTTTCGTTATACTATTTTGATATTTTCTGTGCGAGTAATAGTAAAATAGTATTCTATTAAGATTAATGAAGATAAAAAAAAGTATTTTTTTTTAAATAAAATTGATGGATAACATAAGTAGTCATAGCTTTCTTTATAATGAAATTTGTATTTTTCATATAAGAAAGGTTATACACTTATACTTACAACTAATTTTTATTTACAACTTCTTATAATATATCTTAACTGTTAATTTTCGTCAATTAATGTTATCATTTATTGCCAATTAATAATTAATTAATGAGTTTAATTTGCAAAAATAATAATTGTTGATTGGCGAAAATCAACGGTTAAGATATAATTGTACAAGATTATAAACTAAAATAAGTTATAAGGATAACCTTCATCTTTTCATATAACTATAAAAAAATGTTATTTACATTTCATTTTTCACACTTATATTTTTGTACCTTATTTTTATTATAAATAAATAAAAACATTCCTTTCCTTTGTTTCATATATAAAAAAAAAAAATAAGATGTAAGAATAACATTTTGCTCAACTATATGACTAGAGCTGGCAAAATGGGCCGAGCCCGCCGGGCTGGCCCGCCCCGCCCGCCAAACGGGGCGGGGCGGGCTGAGTTTTCTAAGCTCGCTGCCCGCCAGCCCGCCCGGGCTGAATTTTTTTTTTTTTTAATTTTTAGTGTAAAATGTGACGGGCTTGGCGGGCAGCCCGCCCCGCCCGCCCAAACGGGGCGGGGCGGGCAGAGATATCTAGCCCACCTTCAATGGCGGGGCGGGCCAGCCCGCTTTTTGGCAGGCTTTTGGCGGGCAGGGCGGGCAGCCCGCTTTGCCACGTCTATATATGACTATATATCTATGGGAAAAGTGTGTATCATTTTAAATGATGTAAATTTGTGTCATTTTAAGTGAGAGAAAGAGATAGATAAAGGAGGAGAGAGAGTGGACAAAAAATATAAAGGTGTGAATCCTACATCTTTGTGAGAGAAAGAATGTAAGTTATGTCATTTTAAAAGAAAAACACTTTTTTCCTGTATCTATATCTTCTCCGGCTCCTGTTTGAACTTTCGCACGTCCTATGATTAAAATGAGTGAACAATTCAGTTATGCCATAATCAGTTACAACATGTAACATCCACGATTATAAATATGAGAATTAATCAATTAGATAGATTCTCTCTCTCTCCACTTATTTATTTCGGAGTGATAATGACTTGAACGTTCGAATGTATGTGCAGACATATCCCGTCTTCTCTTGTTGGAATGTGACTGCATAGGTGACCTCGTAACAAGATTTTTCAAGTGTTGAAATAATGTATTTTTATATGTTTTTTGTGTTTTGGGGTTCCGTAGGAACTAGCATATTACATCCAAATACAACTTTAAACGTTACGTATTTTCATGTTTAATTATTATATTTTGAGCATCAAAATAAAGTTTTTTAAGGGAAAAATGTTAAAATTATATATTTTTTGGGCGATTATAATTACTATTATTTTAGCCTTATCACTCTTACAACTTGTTTGCTTATCATTAGATCAATTTGAAATTAACGATAATTTTTTATTTTTTTAACCTTTAATTTCAAATTAATCCGACGATAACTAAATAGTTAATAAGAGTGTTAAGGCTAAAATATGATAAGTATAATTTTTTCTTATTTTTTTAGAGAAAAATTCAAAAACTCTCTTATGGTTATGATGTGAACCAATGGTAGATCCAAAAAATTTTATTTATGTATACACATTTAGAGGCATGGGTTCCGGGCTGTGCCTCGAAAAAAAAATTAAAGAAAATTTTAAATATACTAAAAAATAAAAGAATATAAATAAGTGGTCCATTTGAAATTTTTAGATACTCAACAAATATTAAAGTCTCCAATTTAATCCCTAAAAAAAGTCGACTCGTAATTCCTTTAAAATTCAAAATAGATCCATGTTAGTCTTTCTGAGGGACTAACGAGATTTTTTTTTGAATTTCAGAAGAATCACGATTTCGACCAACTGGGTCTATTTTAAAATTCATAGGGATCACAAATTGACTTTTTTAAGGAATTAAATTGGACCTCGTAATTTATTTAAGGACCCAATAGATGCTTTACTCCTTTCTTTTTTTCAAATATTTGTGTCTGCACTTGCACCCAATGAACAAGTGCAGGTTCACCAACCACTTATCCCCTTATGTTTTTTTAGTCAATTACTCTATAATTTTTTCCATCCAAACTCACTCTTAATACTATTATAAACTTAACTAATTTACCTAACTTTACTTTTCTTAGAAAAGAAAATAGACTGATGATATAAAAAAGAAACAAAATAGAACAACAAATTAGATTAACTATGTTGAAAACTTATAACACTTATAAAAAACACAAAAAATAAAAATAAAAAAGGTTATATATGTCTAAATCAAGAAGAACAAAAATAGACTGAGGACAAAAGAAATAAAAATAAAATAAAATAAAATAAAAGAGTCTTAATCAAAAAGAAGAAATTAAACCGAAGATAAAAAAAATAGAAAAAAATAAAAAATAAATAGAAGAAAAAGAAATCAATATAATAAGTTTTTAATATATTTGATTTTATTTTTTTCAATAGGAAGAAATAGACTGATGATATAAAAAATCAAATATATATATAGGGAAAAAATATTTCTCAAGTAGCTTGAGATAAGTTTATCTCCGGCCACCCTAAAAATACTTCGTTTTATTTATTTATTTTCTTCTATTAATTGATTTACCTTTGAATGATTATGATTCTCTTTTTCTCTCTCTTCCTTTATCATCATTGATCCATCTTTGTACGGTTATGATTTAATAGCCGAAGATAAAATTATCTCAAGCAGCCTATATATATATATATATATTTGATTTTTTTCAAGACAACTTAATTAATAAAATTACGCGACATATAAGAAAAATACAAAAAGTCAGATTTTGCAATGTATTTTACTTTTTTTTCCGCTTCCTGATCCGTATGAAATTCTCTCTCTACATTCTCAGGACCCACCCACTAAGTGATGAACCACCCTTTGAACAAAAATAATAAAAGGCAGATCTTTAATTGACGTCGCTAAATTAAGTGTGCGCCATACATTGTGTTCTAGCTTTTATTTCTTATTCTACCTTTTCTTTTTGTCTGTGCATATAGCTTTGATATCAGTGTTAAGGGAATATATATATATATATATATAAGAAAAAGTCCATGCGGATGATAATGTGTCAAAATCTTCGTTCGGCTTTTCTTTCCTTTCTTCCTTTGTGGGTTTCTTATGAAGCGGTGAGACATCAACAGCATTTTATGAATACCCGTAGAATAGATTATATTGAGATATATAAAATCATTAATATAATCATGTTCAAAAGCTTAACTTGTTGGGTAGGGTTATATTAATGATTTTATATACCTCAACATACCTCCTCACAAAAGAGCCCACTGACCTTGAAGAATGGACAATGCACAAGCCCACCTAACTGTGCGAAGAAAGAAAGTGGAGGCGGTGAGAATCGAATCCGGTACACCGAGGCTGGCTCTGGTACCATGTAAAGAACTAATTCAACCAAAAAGCTTAAGCTGTTGGGTGGGGCACGCCCCCTCACACGAGAGCCCACTGGGCTTGAAAGGTGGACAATGCACAGGTCCACCTACCTATGCGAAAAAAGAAGAAAGAAATTCCACTTTCAAAACCCCTATTATGAAATCCCTTTTCTCCCACTTCACACCTCGGAACACACCGTTCTTATAGAGGGGCGCTTTCACATCTTCTTAAGCCGAAATGAAATGGCTGGGGAGAGGAAATGTTTTCCTTTTTTAGGGTACTCCGGGGAACAGATCCAGTGGAGACGGGGTGGGGCTTGTAGCTCATAGGATTAGAGCACGTGGCTACGAACCACGGTGTCGGGGGTTCGAATCCCTCCTCGCCCACAAC